CTGGGGTACAGGCCAGAGATGCAGAGGGTGGGAGGATTCACCAGAGACAGAGCAGGGAGCAGAGCAGGCAGATCTACGAAGTACACTGTTGAGGGGAGCAGCTGGCGGGTCAGGAGAGGTCTGCCTCGCCATGTGGATCTCCTCCGGGGCAGGTGGGAACTGAACTCATGCGGAAGAGGCTTAAGCTTCTTAGTGCTGTGCTTTAACCAGCTGCGCCCCCAGGGAGGGCCCAATATTGGGGCATTTTAAGAAACAGTGTTGGGGTGGGAGTTGAGAAGCAAGAGTTGAGAAGGAGAGAGAACAAGAAGAGGAGAGAATGGTGAGGTGACTAAATGAGAGAGGGACAAGGAAAAGGGGCTTTTGTCATGGAATTGCAGGTCAGAGACAGGGAGACACGCAGTTCTATGTAAACTTGTTTCTGTGCATTTAGGTTGCAGCTAACTTTGCCAGAAACTCTGAGTGTTTGGCAAATAAATAAATAAATAATAATAAAAAATCTAGGCAAACTGTGAAGGGTTTGATGGGCAATAAAACTGACTGCACACATGGGCCACTACACTCACTCACTCACACTTTCCATGTTCTCCTTCCCAGGCTGCTGACTACTCTCTGGCCTACCTTCTTTCTTGTTGACTTTATCCTACCCATGTTGGGTCCTGAGCTTGGCGCTCCTAACCTCACCAGGACGGTGCCCTCTCCATCCCACAGCTGCTACTTTTGTGTCCTGCTTGCTAGTCTGAAACCCGGATCATGGTTCTCAGGTCACCCTTGAGAGATAATTATATCAGCTTTGTGCAGATTAAGAACTAGTAAAGGTATTAACCTTGAAAGTAAGTAGAAGGCTGTCAATTTCTGAAAAGGTTCCTGGTGGACCTACTGCTTTTAGAAGAAAGCACAACATGTATTATGATAAGAGGGAAGAAAATTTTAATTTTATTTTGAGTTTTGGTTCACGTATTTCTGAACCATATATTCTGGCTCAGTAAAATATCAATTACCCCCTGGATCAACAGATTTATCTTTGTAAAATGGATTTCCTTCTTACTATAATGTGTGCCCTTGCTAAGCACATCAGATAAGAATAAAAGTTGCCCAATGGATCACATGGCTGGGAAGTTGTGGAGCCTGGAGGTAAAGGAGGCCCATTAGATATCCAACCTGGAACAGATAACCACTATTCTCACTAGGTGGCCCAGGGGGAGGATGTTCTAAGCAAAAGGAAAAGAATGACTAACAACAGAGACAGAAAATCAAGTTATGTTCAAGAATGAGGTGAAAATGGTTTGGTCCAGTGCAGAGACTATCAAAGAGCAGAGAGACATGGTTGTAAAGGAGAGGGATCTTAATTTGTGAAATGTCTTACAATGTAACCTAAGGTACTAAAAGTGTTCTGTAAGTAACTGAGACCCTGAAGCATGTAAATGATTGGCTCAAAGTAATGTTTTGAGAGTACTGACTTGGTGTGGGGTAGAAGAAGGATTAGATTAAGAAGGAAGAACAAAGAGGCCAGCAATGTCCATGTTTAGTGGCCCATGAGTGCGACAAGAAAGGTCTGACCTGGGTGCAGTGGATTGAGAATGGGAAGAAGAAACCATTCTGAAATAAAGAATTGATAAGATGGATTTACTACTGGGGCAAAACAAAAGGAGGGTTTAATTTAATCCTAACTTTTATCGAGCACTATGGGATCAAGGCACTGTTCTAAGTACATCCCAGGTATTAACTCAGGTAGTTCCCACAACAGCCCTATGATATTACATACTGTCATTATCAACGTCTTTACACAAGTGAGAAAACTAAGACAGAAAAGTCAAGTAACTTTTCTCTCAGATCACATGGCTAGTGAGTAACAGAGCTGGGAGCCCAACCTAAGCTCCTGACTACAGCCCCAGCCTCCTCACCCTCAGGTGTGATGCTTTTCTCATAGTTCCATGTATGCATCAAGCTCTACCTGCTGTGTGTGTTTGCCCACTACATCTCATGTGACCTTAACAAGAGTCCAAGAAAGGAGGCAGGATCATGAGCACTTCCTGTCTCACAACTGTCAATTCACTGTCATCAACAAGTGGAAAAAACTTACACCCAGATGTTCTAACTCCATCTCCAGAGCCCTGGTTAAAGTCTCATGCTCTAGATACGGAGGAAAGAAGGAAAATTCACTAACCAAAGTAGTACAGTTGGAGCAATGGAGAAGATATGATTTTAGGGCTTAGGATGAAAGACCTGACTTTAAGCCTCCTTAAAAGAGTTGCTTTTCACCAAAAAAGAGAAACACACGTCTTTTGCAGCAACTTGGATGGAGCTGGAAAAGATCATGCTTAGTGAGATAAGCCAGAAAGAGAAAGAAAAATACTGGGTGGTTTCACTCATAGCAGGAGTATAATGGGCCAGGCGAGAAAATAACAAAAATAATGAACAACCATATACCAGAGACATTTTGCGGGGGTGGAGTGGGGAATGGGATCAAAAACGGGGGTGGGATGGAGAGGGAAATGCACGGG